TAAGGGGTCTCATAATACCAGTATGTAACTTTTTTCAAATATGCATTCATTTGAATTATTTATTTTTACCCATTTTCTTAACAGTTAAAAGTTCACATTTTTATTTACTTTACACAAATGATGAATATTAAGTTATGACATTTGTTTAAAAACGGCATTTAAGTTTTTTAAGTCGAAATAAATGTGTGGTCTTATATTACCATCTTCTCCTCTACTAAGAAAAGTGAATTCTACGATATGTAACCGACTTCCATAACTGAGAAGTAGCGTATAAATAGAGATAAAATTTTTCAGCCTTTTCTTCAGGATTATCACAGTGTCGTTTCTAGTTTTAGTAAAGATTAATACAACTCAAACGCGGAGAATAAAAAAACTTACATTTTATGTTGGCAGATGCACCACGATCATTATTTTTCGCCTATTGCTAACAGCATATTTGTTCCTAATATATTCCGCCAAAAACCAAGAGCGGTGCGCCCGAATTGGTGCGTAATAATTCGTCAGAGGCCAGTAAGCAGTGCGTAAGATACAAAATTTTAATCTAATAGCAATCTAATGTCAAATAAAATGAAATAAAATTATAATATTTTATTAAAACTTGAACCAATTACGTTAAAAGTGATAATCTTAAACACCGTTGTTTCCATAAAACTGACATTTCTCATTTTCACAAGAGTGAAGGAATCCCGAGCAACGCTGTGTATCTTGCTAATTTGTAATACCTGAAGCCGAGGTAGGCGCAGGCGTCGACGGCGAGCGCGAGCGGCGGGCTGGAGTCCTTGGCGCACAGCGGAAAAGAGGCGCCGCGCGCCCGCTCGCGCCGCGGCGCGGTACACCAGCACCCCGACGCCCGCGCCCTGCGCCGCCCCCGCTCACGTGCAGCACGCGCACCTGCGGCGCCAGGCGACTGCGCACGCGCACGCGCTTTAGGACGGGAGGGGCCAACTACTTTGCTCGTTAGTCCCGTGAGGGTAGTGTATGTTGGGTCTCGGAAGGGGGCTGTGTTACTACGCCCCCCCCCGCACACACACACACTAGAACGTGAGATCCGGCGCGATCTACAGTCGCCTTGCGAGGTTTTTCCCCTCCAGGTCGCTCCTTGTCGCGACAAGCTCTGCGCTCCCGACTGGTCTCCCGTCATGTTTGGTAGTGTACAGGTAAGTATGTGTGTGTGTAATGGAAGCGGATGAGACAAGAATAAACAAGAGAATAGGGCGCGCGGTCCGTGGCCTGCTTGTTAGTGTAGTGCTCAGTCATTGGCCTGGTATTGATCAAGACAAACAAGGCAAAATTCGATTGACATCGACCTAGTTCTGTAATCTTTGTTGAAAATCAGCCACCGCCCGGACTGGAACCCTGGGACCTCCCGGGTAGCGGGAGCAATTGATGCCCTCACTGCAATCTCAGATGGTCTTTAGAAAGGGGGCTCCTCCCTCTTCGAGCAAATAGGAAAGCTGAACTTGGACTCTCAATACGAGGAGAAATAAAAGACATTTCTACTCGTATTCAAATGCTAATAACGCCTCATCAATAGCTCAATACAATATTAAAATTAGTAATGCACTGAAATGAGCAAGTCAATGGGTAGGTTGGCGCCGGATCTTACTTTCCAGCGAGGGACGAACACTGTCACCCCCAACATGTTCTACAATCACGAATTATAGTAGTTGACGTGCCCATAAATTCTAAATAATCATTCAATCAATAGAATTCAGTGAAACATTTAAAAAATTAAAAATAATAATTATTTAAATTAAAAAATAGAACTTTAGGGGAAACATTTCAAAACTTTTGATAATATTCTTTAGTACTACTACACTGTTAAATCAACATAAAAGAACCAATCCGAAGAACGAAAAGCCACTTCGAAAGGCCACTGTCCTTTCAGAACAATTGAAACAAGTGACTTGTAGTTAAATATGGCTTATGAGTACTCCTATTCCAAGGAAAGTCATTTCTTATTTATATGATTTTCTTATGAGGTGATATTAAGAAAATTATGTAATTCGGCTGATTCACAAATTACAAACTTGGTTGGTAATCGGGCCCTGGCTTAATATCTATTTTCGTGGCCGCCCAGTCTTAAGGTAGCGTGGCGAGCCGCTGCCGCAGCGCAGGGACTCACAGCACTCCGCCTCGTCCTCCTCGTGCGGGCAGTCGACGGTGTGGTCGCAGACGCTCGCCAGCGGCACGCAGCGCCTGCTGCGCGCGCAGTGGAACTCGTCCGCTCCGCAGAAGCCTGCGCGCACACATGCCACCATCACACCTCATGGCCTTTTTACGCACATGAAGCATATACTACCGATTTATCTTTCGCTCAATAAATGTTATTCATGATGTGAACTTGTAATTATAACAATATTTTTGGGGATAAAATATTAGTTGTTGCAGGTAAACAACTAACGGGGTTAAAGAAAGATAGGACGGAATAGCAAACAACTGTACGTCTGTCAGCCTTACGTCTAAAATTTCAAAATTAAATATCTTCAAAATTTATCTCAAAGATGAATTTTGCAAACCCATCCATCCTACATAGTAAAGCCTCTTCCGCCATTTCTGGCGGAACGCGATGGAACGGCGTTCGGGTACCTCGAGGACAAAATAGGGGGAAATATGCAAACAGCAGAGACCAAACGCTTCGATTTTTAGTACGACCAATTTTGGTCAACTCAAAATTAAATAATTTCTCCTTGACTAAAAAACGATAAAATATTATAAACTATTTTTTATTTCCTATTATTCTTATTTATATTATTATTATTATTATTATTATTATTATTATATTCACAAAGATCCAGAGTTACCTCTGTTACTAATCGTTATTAACTTTGATTTATAATTATTAAATTTTATAATAAATATATAACTATTTCTATCACATGAAAATTAATTTAGGAGCGTTTTGGCACCTAAACTTCGATAAATCACTGGTAATTACAATACAGAAATCCACAAGTGTTCTTGGTCAACTCACTGTGAACCATTCCCCGATATTTAGCTCAAATTAACCCGTCGCTTAATTTTTATAGCTAAATGTGCTGATTTGAAACAGGACATCAACAATAAATATTATATAAAATGTTGCATATTTTACAAACTTTTAACAAAAAACAAAAAAAGAAAAAAACAACCTCTTTTAAAATAAAATTGTCACCTACTTTTTTGACAATTGCGAGCCCGTCTTGCAGACGTCGTTAGAACAACTGTTGTGTTGAAAATTTAATGATTTAATCACAGCTAAAAGGGGCATACAAACAGATAGTTCGTTCCCCTCGGGAGAAATCTTGAGGTTTAATCAGGACAACAAAATTCCCCACTGACACTGCAGATTTTTTTGTTTTGTTTTTCATTGGTTTGTTATCAGATACGGACTACATACTATTCTAGCAATTAAAAGTTATTAAATAAAGGTATCATAATAAATTTCTGTGTTTCGATATTCTAAACGTTGTGTTATATAGAAACCTTCACAGAATGCTGTCAGTTTGTCCATTTCTCTTATTTTTTAACTTTCTTTTTGGTTAAATCTTAATTATAAATTTAATAAACATGGTCATTCTCAAATTAAAGTTTGTTATGGATTAATTAAATTTTAGATTTGCTTAAACAAGCTTTAAAAATTTATATTTATGATATTTATGATTATGATATGATTATATTATTGATATTGATGTTTAAATTTGGAACATCGATGTTTGGTAACATCGAAGTTTTGTTTGACGATGTCGCATCGCTCGGGAGCATCGCAAACCATTACATCAATCAATAGTACTATCGATCTTGTGCGCATGCCCAGTTCGAGTTTCACATCACTTTTGTGGATCTGCTTGTGCGCAGAAGACCAAGATTGCAGTCGATTGTGAACGCCATGCTGCGCAAAGAGCCCCAACTAGTGGCCAGCGCTGCGCTGGGCGCGGCACGCACCACAATGTTCCTCGTCGGAGCCGTCGTGGCAGTCGGCGTGCGCGTCGCAGAGCGCGGCGGGAGCGGAGGCGCGCAGCCGCTCCACGCAGCTGCACCGCTCCTCGTCGCTGCCGTCCACGCAGTCTGCGCGTCCGTCGCAGCGCAGCTCCCCCGGCAGCCGCTGCGCCAGCCTGCGCACGCCAACACGCCCTCTCAATGCCCGCTCTCGTGCACGCACACACGCACAGACCAGCAGTGAAAAAATACCTTGCACTGCGCAGGCGCTAAAATCACAATATGGGCAGCAGCTACCGGGAAAAAATATGTAGTAAGAAAAGGCAACATATGTACATAAATGAAATGAAAAGATAAGAATACGAAACGTATATGTAAAATAGAATTTGTAGAACTTTTCCAACCAAATAAAATAAATTTACACAATTTTAAATTACATTCATAAAATATTTGAAAAACATTTACAAACAAACAAACAAACAAAAACAAAATTGCATAGCCTACTGAATTAGCTTGTTTACGAGTGTTACACTTTTATTTTTGAGAGCAATGATTGCCATCGTATAAACATGAGAACTGAATGACTGGCAATCGCCGTAGCAGCGCCTTTACATGTCTGTTCGTCCTTTCAGTACATGCATCCACAAACCAAAACAAAAAAAACAACTGAAAGTATTAAGATAAATTGAATGGGGTTAATGTCGATAGATATCCCAAAGCTCGTGCCTTAAGTGGAGCACAAAAATCTGGTGCGCACTCACTTGGAACACATGAAGAGCTTGGGGGCCTTCGGCGGAGCGGGTGGCGGCCGCGAGCTGCTGGGCTGCAGCGCACCGGCGTGCGTCACCGCTTCCTCTGGTGGCTGCTCCGTAGAAGCCACTAGGTTCCTGTCTACGAAGTCGGGTGGTTCCTCGGTCGCGCCGCTCTCGGCGCTAGGGGCCGTCGCCGCTGCCCCGTCGTCGCCGAGAGAACCTTGGGGGGCGTGGTCATCGGCGCCTCCAGAGACCTCGAGGGCGGTCGTAGAGTCGGGTGGAAACGCGGTGTTGGCGGCGGACACTGCAGTGACCGGATGGCTGCTCTCCGACCCGAAGTCGTATGCTGCGACGGGTGAGTGGGGCCGAGAGTCTTCCCACATGGTGGAGCCGAAGGCTGTGGACGGGAGGGGGGCCGGGGTGTGGAGGCCTTCGTGGTCGTCAAGATCCGAGTGAGGGTTGGGCACCAGGTTAGTGCTCTCCGTAGGGGAGTCTATCTGTCCGAAACCTGGAGCCGGGATCTGCAACGTGGGCGTGTATTCCGTGGTGACGATGTTTCCAGAAACGTACGAAGAGTTTTCGGTGTCTGTTGCTGGATCTCCATGTGTTCCGGAGGAGCTGTCGTCTTGAGAAGGTCCCGTGAGGCCTAAATTATTCCCCGGCACATTTCCGTACGAGGAAGATCCTTGCATAGTAATGTACGTGGGTGAAGTTGATTGATCATATGTTGATGAGGTTTCTTCCGTGCTCGTTGTCGTTTCCACCGCGGGATCTGTTGTTGATGGTTCTTCAGTAGTTGGCATCAACGTGGTGGTGACGTCACTGGTATTGGGTTCCAGCTCGTCTTCACCTGGATGTTGATCACCACGCATTGGAGTGACGACAACCACTGTTGTTTCTGAGGTCACTGGCTCTTTATGAATAGTGAATCCTTCAGAAGCTTCAGTAGTTTCAAAACTCTGAACTAAAACACCTGTAACTAAATTGGTTGTTACATCTGTTGCCGCGGAATTTCCGGACGAACTGGAATCATCGGCAAATTCACTTTCACTGACAGTAATAGGAATATTTTTAGTTTCATCAATCGAACTTTCGATGGAGGGAGCAGTGTTTACAAAATTTGGGTTACTTGTTTCTGTATTTGCATTCGGAATGGGAATGTCTCCGACAGACTCAGCATTTTGTCTGCCAGTTTCGGCTCTGTGTGTAACAATTCCATTTGAAGAGCTCTCTTCGTCTTTTGTACCACCTGGATGAACATACCATACACTAGAATGTGGAAAATTGGCTATCAATGAAGCATTTCCCGGAGCACTTGTTTCTTCAATTTCGACAACAGGATATACTTCATTTAATATATTACGAGTGGAAGATTGTGATACTAATGGCGAATTTTGTGCATTAGACTTAAATGACTTTTCTTGATCATTTTGAATTTGCTCACCTTTCTGATCTTGCATCGACCTTGAAGAATCCACGTTGGCAAGCTCATTGCCGAAAAAGGTAGTACCCCCTGACCCATGCGGAGCATTCTCTAGATCATTGGAAGGAACCGTAGAACTAGCTGAAGTGATCACTTCTGGTGGAGACACGGTCGAACCTACATTCGTTGCTGAAGATGTTGATGTTGCTAAAGATGAAATATGACCTACCGGAGAAGGCTGATGTGAAGAATCCGAAGAGAATGTATGTGCAGGAGAGGTATTCACAACGATGCCTTTGAGCGTAGTTGTAGTATTATCCTGATGTATTGTTTGGGGCGTAGGAGATACGTTCACCGTGGAAGAACCGATATGTACGGCCATTGTGGGAGGAGCAACGGATGTTGATGCATGCTGCAAGTCGGGAGATTTGCTAGGTTGGGTTGATGTCGGAAGGGAGGTGAACGATTGACCTAATAACGCATGCGACTCTCCAACAGTGAACGTATTTTCGGAAGAAAAGTCCTCTGGCGAGAAATCAAGCATTGGAGTAGGTAGTGAAAGTTCAAGAGTGGAGTTCCTGGGAACAGCTTGCACGTCAATTGCGTGTTTGTAGTCAGGTCCAGAAGAAGGACGTTCAGTCGTCTTCACCGCTGAAATTCCATCCGACGACCACTGCCCCGGTGCGGTCCTCGGCGTCGAGGTGGGAGGGGCAAGCGCAAGCGAGCCGTTGAGGGCAGACGCGTCGCCGCCGGCGCTGTCGCCGTCGCCGGCGCGTGCCAGCAGCGTGCCGTCCGCCATGATGAGCGCCTTCTCTCCCTGCGCGCGCGCGCCGGCGGCGCGGGGGTCCTCTTCGAAGCCGCGCACGCGCAGGGTGGCCGCCACGGCCATGCCCTTGAAGCGGAACGGGCAGTGCAGCTCGTCCTCGGCGCGCAGGCAGTCGGGGAAGCGGTCGCAGCGGTAGCGCACGGGCAGGCAGCGCCCGCCGGGGCACTGGAAGCCCGGGCAGCGCTGCTTGGGGCGCCGCGGCGGCAGGTGCGACGGCTCTGCAACCGGACGCCCCAGCCGCTCGGTAATGCTCGATTAAAAGGAGTTGGCATACTAGCTCTAAATATTTAATATGGGTGGCATAAACGCAAATTGGTTACAGTTTCAGGTGCTGAGGAGGATCTCGCAAAACTGATCCAAACGTCTGTCGTTAAAATAGAATTTTTGACTCATGACTGGAATAATCGCGTTATTTATTAATAGTAGTTGGTTAATGACACTTAATCAGAAGAAGAGAGGGTACTACTATTTTTAAACGAGAAGTTCTATTTTTGATGATATCACAAGAGCGTTCAAAAATTGACGATCCCTATTAAATGACAGTGCCCCGTTTCCTAAAAACGCCCTCTTAATACGCCCCCTTAAATAAATATTTAATATTGCAAAAGTTTGAACTTTTGCAATATTCGAAAATGTAGAGTTTAAGGAAAATGAAACCGGCGCCGTTTAGTAAGCACCGAGGGCCCACAAAACGTGAATTGTCACTAAAGAAAGTTTTAGATGAAGTTGTTTATTACATATAGGAATACAAATTATCCTCTTTTTCCCTATCATAGAAAAAAGTTTCACAATAAGCCACCAAAAAACAGAATAAGAAAAAATCGTAAAAATTGCTGTTTTTGGTCACTGCATTACAATTCTCTTCTTATAATACGTAAGTAGTATGCGAGAAAGTAAAACATATGTTTAAGTAAGTGGTTATTAATTCATAATATGAATACTTCTATAGATGCGATGCCGTCAATAACTTGTGAATAATTTGATTGAATTAAGTAAAAGAGAGGAGATCCTCTAGATCCACCAGCGCGAGGAAGGAGGTGGAGAGAAGGATGGAAGAAACGAACGAACGAAGGAAGAAGAGCTCGGGGTGAGAAGCATGCGAGCGAGAAAGCTGACACGTCAATATGCTTCATAGAGAGCTCTATGATGACGAGGATATGCAACTATGTTCTAACGGTTGTGCTACAAAAATAGGCCGACGCGCATGAGCGCGATGAAATCTATTCAGACTGAAATGTATTATGTATTTTGTAAAATTACAAAAACAGGGTTGAGTTAGATTCACAACAGTGAAGATCACTATGTAAGGAAGGAAGAAAGAAAGAAAGAAAAGAAGGAAAAGAGGATCAAAGAAAGGAAGGAAAGAAGATAGAAAGAAAGAGAGGAAAGAAGGAAAAGAGGAATAAAGAAAGGAAGGAAAGGAGCTGGAGATGACAAGCCAGCGAGCGAGTGTGGGTACGCACCGGTGTGTTGCTTGATCCAGTCGAGGTAGAGCTTGACGCGCGTGTAGGCGCCGGGCTCGTCGGGCCGGGCGCAGCCCTCCCCGTGCGACACGACGCCCGCCACGTACCAGCGGCTGCGGTCGTCGGCCGCCTGGCAGAGCAGCGGGCCGCCGCTGTCGCCCTGGCAGGCGTCGCGCCCGCCCTCGGGCACCCCGGCGCACAGCAGCCCGCCCGCGCGGTCCTCCGCGTGCTTGCAGCGCGCCAGCACCGGCAGCTGCACCTCCTGCTGGTGGTCCGCTACGCAGACACACACGTTGTTTTTTTTTTTAAATTGACGTAAAAAGAGTTACACACTGGGTAATAGGTGCTACAGTGAGAAGTGTATTCTGTGTACGTTTCTTAAATTTTTAATCCCTACTCTAAACCAAGTAAAAATAGAATTCTGAATACAGAAAGAAATGAGCGGTTTCAGCAAGAATTGTTAAAAAAATATTCTCTCCGGTGTGTATAATAAAAACTATTTTTAAAGGCAAATCAGGTATATATTTGGATTCTTCTCCCTCATCATGCCCTTCGTGAAGGAATATACCTCCGCCGTGACAACATGAGCGATAATTTGAATAACTATTGAACTCTAGAAGATGTGATCCAATAACGAGGTCACATTTACACACATGCAATACATGTCACCCATCCATAATCTTCTTGGCGCTTTATTGTTTTTTTTGTTCTTTGTTTCGTTTTCTGTTTTGTTTTTTGTTTCGTTTTTGTTTTGTTTCGTTTATTAGTTTCGTGTTTTTTTTTGTTTTTTGTTTTGTAATTTGTTTTTTGCTTTTTTTTGTTTTGTTTGCACTTTCCTATCAGTTCTTTTCGCTCTTTTGCGCACATGAGATTTTGCCGTACGGTGCGTGCGGGCGGCGCGCCTTGCTCTGCGTTGTGCGAGTGCATACTCACGGTCGGGCCCGCGCTCGCGGACGGCGCCCCAGCCGACGACGGTGCAGGAGGTGCCGGCGCGGGGCTCGCGCGCCTCGCCCGACGCGGCCACGGGCAGGCAGGCCGGCCGCACCCAGCGGTTGAAGCGCAGCGGCGCCGCCAGCCGCATCAGCGCCAGGTCGTGCACCATGTCGGCGCGGTCGTAGTGCTCGTGCGCCACCACGAACGCCACCGCCCGCTGCTGCTCCATGGGCGAGAAGGACGAGCGGCGCAGCAGCCCCGCGCGCACCTCGTAGAAGTGCGTCTCCCACCTGCGCACGGCGCCGGCAGTACAAGAGGACAGCCATTCGACAGGGTTGCAAGCAAATTGATGAGACAGAAGAAGCTTACTTATGTTAAGTGAAATGCAATAATGGTCGATTAAATGCGAGTAATTTAAAAGACATTCAATTCAAAATTATCTTGTTAATTAAAGATGAAATCAAATGTGAATGTCTGTATATTGTATATTTTTAAGTACAGAGGTATTCTCAAACATTAAAGAAAATCAAATAAAGTATTATTTAAAAAAAATGTTTTATTGGCATCAATTTACCTAAGACCTGAAGTTTAACGACACAATGTGACCGCATTATCGTATGGTCTGCAATGAAGCTGTTTTAACAATTAAAACTGTTTCTTTCATCGTAAATATTTAAATATGAAATAAAAATACAAAAACCAAACATGATTTAAAATTAGAATAAAATATTTGATATTTTATTTTTTACGATGAAAGAAACAGTTTTAATTGTTAAAACAGCTTCACTGCACATAAGCTGGTGATGCGGTCACATTGCGTCACAAAACGTTACTGTAGTTGATTGGTACCAATAAAATAATTGTTTTAAAATAATATTTGATTTTCTTTAATATTTGATGATACCACTGCACATTAATATTCAAAATTAATTAGTAAAATTAATCCACTATAGCAATTAATTAATGATTATATTAAATAACTTGGTTGCAGACATTTCTCCGAATTTCTAAAACGAAGACTCAAGTTATGGCCCATTGCGGTAAAAACCCCATACGCTCATACGCCATAGTTATTGACAACACAGTGATCGACCAGACTTCAAATTTTAATTACCTTGGTTGTGACATCAGTT